ATCTCCATGTAGCCCTTGCTCTGTTCACAAACTGTGAATGTGAATTTATGACTTTCAATGTAAATGCAAGAGGTACATACAAGCAATAAAATTTCACATTACATTTAAAATGGAATGGATCTATAGTATGTTCAGACCAATCATGTGGACTCAACTATGCCCTTCTGTCAGGGGACAGTTTAATCAACTACTTACTAAATTTAAGAGTATGCTTAAGAGCTCAAAATCACTGGCAATAAGAGAGATGAAGATCAAAACCACAATGAGATAACATCTCACTCCAGTAGCAGTGGGAAAGTTTAACAAGACAACATAGTAAATAGTGGAGAGGATGTGGGGAGATAGGACCATTCACACGCTATTGGTTGGTTGGTTGTTATTATGTGCCGTCGAGTCGCTTGCAACTCAGAGTGACCCTGTGTACAAGAGCCCTAAATGTTGCTCTAACCTGTGCCATCCTCGTCGTCTCTGATACACTCATTCCCACCATCCCAATTACAGAATTGATCCATCCCATCGAGGATCTTCCTCTCCTGCACCGTCCTTCCACTCTCCCAAACATAATATCCCTCTCCAAGGATCAGTCCCTCCTTGCAACATGTCCAAATTATGTCAGACAAAGCCCAGAATCTTTGACTCCAAGGAGCATTCCGGCTTCACCTCTCCAAGACAAACCTGTTTGTTCTCCTGGCAGTCCAAGGTATATTCAACACTCTTCTCCAGCCCCACAGGTCAAAGGCATCAATTCTCTATCATCCCTATATATCTAGTCTATCACCCCTATATTACACTGTTGGTGGATTGTAAAATGGTACAATTTTTCTGGAAGGCAGTTTGGTATTTCCTGAAAAAGCTGAACAAAGAAATTCCATACAACTCAGCTATTCCACTGCTTGGAATATACCCCGAGAAAATAAGAACTGTGGCACAAATGGGAGATTTGTATACCAATGTTCTAGGAGCATTATTTACCATCACAAGAACATGGAAACAGCCCAAATGCCCAACCACAATGGAATGGATTGAGAAATCATGATATATAATTATGTATAATACCTAATATTTTAAAACATATTCTTAATTGCATGAAATACCATACAGCATATAGGAGCACTGATTTGTAAATCACTACCTAACTTGGAAGGGACTGGGGAGCATTATGCTAAGTGAACTAACTCAGTTCCATAAGGACAAACACTATTCAAGAACATTATTGTAGAATGTGTGTAAGTATTCAAGGAGGGGGTGGGGAGCAAAGGGTTGAAGATGGAGGAGTGAGGTAATCATAGAGTCACAAAATATGATGAGGGGAAGGCAGCTGGGTAAAGGAAATAGGGAAAAAAATGGTGTGTGTGTGTGTGTGACAACATGCCAATGTGAATAAAGAAAAGTATGAAACAAAATGTATACAAAGTTTGTCTACAACCAATATAAAAGAAATTTTTTTTAAAAAAGTATGCTTAAAAATGTTAGGTATTATACATAATTGTGCTTTAAGGAGGTTTTAACTTATTCTAATGAAATATTTATAAATCTTTAATGTCAAACTAATCTTGAATTCTAAGGCAGAGTCCAAAAGGTTGAAAAATCCTATATATAGAATTATAAGAATAGCAGCTTGAAATTTGCTGCACGGTTCATATCAAAAGGCATTGTACTAGATTCAGGTTTTTTTTTCATTTAACCTCTATAACAAAAAAAATACACACACACACACACACACATAACTATTTATTAAGAAAGAGAAGACTGAGGCTAAGAAAGCTGAAGTAGCAAAAGCAAGTTTTATCAGAAGAAAAACTTAGACCTATCTAGCTATACCTAATTGGAAAGCTCATACCCTTCACTATCATGCCTTTGTATAAACCATCATGCTACAGAAATCTGTGTTAATATTTACTACAAATTTGGTGAATACCAAGAAATATATTGGCATGGGGAAAATCTATGAAGTCAAGAAAAAAATACTAGGGAATTGTAAATGGAACAATTTCCCATCAAATTTAGAAAACATTTTAAACTGTGAGGGAGGAGAGACACCAAAGACTTTGTATAAAACACCAAAATTATCAGACCTGAGAAGTGAGGCTAAAAGCCCTAGAGCAAAGGCTACTCGTTCCACTCTGTAAAAGCTTAAAAATAATCCTTCAAGAAATTAATGGGATGTATGGACTAAGGCTCAATGTCAAGAAGACAAAGATTCTCGCCACTGGACCAATTAGCAGCGTCAGGATGGATGACGAAGAGATTGAGAGTGTTCACAGCTTCACTTTGCTCGGCTCCACAGTCAACACTCTTGGTACCAGCAGTCAGGAAATCAAAAAGCGTATCTCGATGGGAAAGTCTGCTGTTAGGGACCTCTCAAAGGTACTCAGGAGCAACAGTGTCTCTCTGGAGACTAAGGTGCACCTGATACAGGTCATGGTATTTGCAATCGCTTGTTATGCATCAGAGAGTTGGACAATGACTAGGGAGGACAGAAGGAGAGTGGATGCTTTTGAGCTGTGGTGCTGGAGAAGGGTACTGAATGTACCATGGACTGCCAGGAAAACAAACAGATTCATCTTGGAGAGGATTAAACCAAGCTACTCCTTGGAGGCAAAGATTCTGGGGCTTCGTCTGACATACTTTGGGCATGTTGCCAGGAGGGACGGGTCCTTGGAGAGGGACATCATGCTTGGGAGGGTGGAGGGACAGCGCAGGAGGGGAAGACGCTCTATGAGATGGATTGATTCGGTGACTGGGGTAATCGGGATGGGTGTGTCAGAGGCGGTGCGGTTGGCGCAGGATAGAGCAGGGTTTAGAGCTGTTGTGCATAGGGTCGCTATGAGTCAGAAACGACTCGACAGCACATAACAACAACAACATAAGTTTAATGCACCACAGGGCTAGCAATCTTTAAATATAGATAACAAAATTAAGACATTAAGAACATAATTTAATGTTTAGCATCCAGTCATATATTACATGAAGACATGAAAATATGACCTCAAATTAGTCAACAGAAACAGACTTAGAAATAACAGAAACTTTAAAATGAGCTATCAAAACATGCTCAAAAATTTAAAAGAAAATAATTATAGTAAGGAAAGATAAGTATAAACTAATATCAAAGATATCAATTTTGTAGCAAAAATAAAACAAAGTCTGATGTCTTTACGAGAGAATTATAATAAATATTAAAGAAAAAATAATAAACACATAAAAATTCATTCAGAAAATAAAGTAGGGAGAACAATTCCCAATTAATGCTAAGAAGGTACCATTACTATGATACCAAATGAATAAATACATTAATGGAAAAAAAAAACAAAACACAAACCCACAACACCAACAAACTGTAGAGATCAGTATTTCTTAACAAAACAAACATAAAAATCTTTAATAAAATATTTGCAAATTCAGTCTAGAAGCATATCAAGAAGATATGAAAACCAAATGAGGTTAATCCCAGGAAAACAAAGTGGACTCAACTTAAAAAAACATAAATGTAACAGCTTATTAATAAAATTTTTTAAAAAAAGTATGACCACCTAAATAGACTGAGGGGATAAACACCTAAAAGAAGTCAATATCCATTCAAGACAAAAACTGTCACCAAATTAGAAATAAAAGGAAACACCCTTTATGTAAAAAAGGCACCTAAGTTATAGTCAGTAGCATGGTAGGCTGCTAAACAAAAGGCCAGGAGTCTCCTGCATCTTGAATGTCTACCAGAGGCTCTGAAGGAGGAAGATGGTAAGTCTCCTCCTGTTAAGATTATGGACAGCCTCAGAAACTCAGTGCGGGTCACTCACAACTCACCTCATGGCAATGAGGTTTTGGGTTTTTTGAAGTAAAATCTAAAATGAATATCACAATCTAATGGTGAGTGGCTGAATCTTTTACTAAGATTAGGAGTAGGGCTAAGGATATCTGTTTTTTTTCTGTATGAATCTAAAAATGTGTCAGATTTTCTAATCAATAGAATATAGACTAAAAAGCAAAAAGTGGAAATAACAGATTTGAAAGAAAGTAAAAACTATCTTCTAGCTGTTGATATAATCATGCTTGTAAAAATTTCTCAGAAATATACACTAAAACTACTGAAATAAATACTTCAGTAAGCTTTGGAAGATACAAGGTCCATGCTCAAAAAACAAGTGTATTTTGATATATTTGTAATGGATAACTAAAATGAAACAGTATCATTACTAAAGAATATGCATCAATTGATAAAATATATTTTAAACCTCTAATTTTAACACTGTAAAACATTGCTAGGGAAAATTTATGAAAACATAAATTGAGAGATACAAATTACTGGATTGTACGATTCAGTATTCAACTATTAAGACTCTCCAGATTGACCTGTATTTCAAAGTAATCCCAATAAAAATTTCAGTGGAAACAGGTTAAGGAGTCCTTGTGGAATAGTGGTTTCCTTGCTGGTCCACTAACCAAAAGACCAGCAGTCTGAATTCACCAGGTGCAGCATGGGCAAGCGGAAGCAAGACTACTCCTATAACAATTTCACAGCCTCAGTAAGTCAATGGAGGATCTCCAGGAATAGAATCCACTTGACAATAGTGGGTTTGGGTTTCATCATCTAACAATGAAGTAAATTTTATTACTTTCAGGAAAAATTTCTGAAATCTAATATGTGTACCAAATCTTTTTGTTACAAAAAAGTATAAGCTTAAATAATTACACTGTTGTTTTATTTGGTGATATTTTTATTTCAATTTCTTCAAAACGGCGTTATTAATTCTTTATTATGTATGATCAAATAAAAGGGAGAAAAGTTGTACACGTTGCTCAACCTACCAAAAGTAGCTGTGATTCAAAACTAAGTTACTTTAACCCAAATCCATGCTTTTAAGCACCATGCTATAATGCCTCAAAATTAAAACACAAATTCTTCTGAGGTGCTATATAAATCTGATGAAAAGTGACAGCATAGGTGGTTTTGTGTGTTTCTTTTTTTTTGTTGTTGTTTTTTTTTAAAGAGCTTCATTTACCTTCAGGGGACGCAGAGCACCACAAAATTTTGTCCACCAGCTGTTTTCAATGAATTCTAAGTGTCTCTCTCTTTTCTTAAGTGTCCGTAACCTTTCTTCAAATTGTTTTAAGGCGCGTTTATCCCTTGCTGGCAAAGGTCGGCCATCTTTGCTCTACAGATAAAAGAACAAAATGAAACAAAGCTTTTACAGTTAAGATCTTAATAATCAGCTCATTAGAGTTAGCAGATCAAAACAATAAAAACTTTTTTGGGTTTAGATATTCCTTGGACAAATTTTACAATTATACAACCTGAACAACCACAATGTGACAATAAAGATGTCAAAACTGGCATCAGCATCAACATGTGAAAGTGAGAACATTTAGTCCTGAGCCTCCTTTTGATCACAAGATCTAAATTTGTTCCCATTCCAAAGAAGGTGATCTGACAGAGTGTGGAAATTATCAAGCAATATCATTAATATCACATGCAAGCAAGATTCTGCTGAAGATTATCCAAAAGGACACATCAACAGCATTATCAACAGAGAACTGCCAGAAGTGCAGGCTGGGTGTAGAAGGGGTCATGGTACTAGGGATATTGTAGCTAACGTTAGATGGATCTTGGCTGAAAGCAGGGAGTACCAGAAGAATGTCTATCTGTGTTTCATTTACTATGCAAAGACATTTGACTGTTTGAATCACAACAAACTGTGGCTAACTCTGAGAAGAATGGGAATCCCATGCTAATGCGAAATCTATACTTGGAACTAGGAGGCAGTTGTCAGAACAGAGCAAGGAAACATTGCATGGTTCAAACTTGGGAAGGGCGTAAGCCAGGGATGCATCCTATCTCCATACCTTTTCAATCTTTATGCAGAAAAGATCGTCCAGGATGCTGGGTTCTATGAGGAGAAATGTGGCGTCAGGACTGAGGAAGATTCATCAACAATATGCATTATGCAGAAGACACAACCCTGCTTGCTTAAACTGAGGAAGAGGACCTGAAGCGCTTGCTGCAGAGGGTCAAGGACCGCAGCCTTCAATATAAATTGAAGCTCAACATCAAGAAAACAAAGATTCTCATCACTGGGCTGATTAGCAGCATCATGATAGATAGTGAAGAAACTGAGATTGTTAAAAGCTTCAGTTTGCTTTGTTCCACAATCAACACTCTTGGTACCAGCAGCCAGGAAACTAAATGACAAACTGCACTGGGGAAAGTCTGCTGTCAGAGACCTCTCCAGAGTACTGAAGAACAACGATGTCAGTCTGGAAACTAAAGTGCACCTGCTCCAGGCCATAGTCTTCGCAACTACTTGCTATGTGCCAGAAAGCTGATTATGGATGATATGAAAATTAATGTCTTTGAACTATGGTGTTGGAGAAGAGTATTGAATATACCATGGACTGCTAGGAGAATAAACAGGTTCATCGTAGAGAGGGTGAAACTAGGCTGATCCTTGGAAGCAAAGACTCTGAAGCTTTTTCGGACACACTGGGGCATGTCCTTGGAGAGGGACATCATGCTTGGGAAGGCAGAAGGACAGTGCAAGAAAGGAAGACTATCAATAAGATGGACTGATTCAGTGACAGGGATAATGGGGGTAATAGGTGTGTCAGAGACAATAAAGCTGGCATAGGATAGAAGGGTTCAGAGCTGTTACACAGTGGTCGCTATGAGTTGCAAGCTACTCAATGGCGCATAACAAGAACAAACTGATTTAATATAGTTCACTGAAACAAACCCCAGTTATTTGCCTATTTAGTAAATATTCCAGTACAATAAGTAATAGAGTCCATTAACACATTTTAAGAGAATTTTGGCCAGAGAAAGAAACATTGAGAGGGAAATTCAACAGTTAGTTAATTATCCCACTTGAAGATATTTTCACAATAAAACATGGAATACATATATCTTGTTAAAAAAGAATTATAATGTAAAACGTGAAAACTCCCCTTTATTGTCCCTCATTCTCGGGTTATCTACCTCCCTTTTCCAATTATCCCTGTTAAGATGATGAATATCCTTCTATCTGTGCTCTGTGTATATGCATGTGTGATACAAACATTTGTGTCTGAACGGAATGAGTATATAATGGTTAACATTTCTTGAGAATTTTCTAAAACTGGTCCAAGTCACATCAGGTAAGCAGATCAAGTAAGAAGTTTATTTTTTCCGATTACAACAAAACATAAACTCACTTTTGATTTAATTGTTTGAATGTGTTGCTCTACTTCTTCAATGTCTTCACTGTTTTCTAAACGTTCATAAGCAGCACTTCTAGTACCTTTTATCAGATTCAAAGGTAATGCTGACATGCCATATGCCTGAAAGAAAAAGAAATGTTTTAGTAAAATTATAACCACTGCACACAATTTTTAAGTAAAAATTTTCTATAATACAATTATTGCACACTATCATTGTTGAAAGATAACTAGTAAATCATGTATGGGAATCCAAAGGGGTAAAGGGTGGGAACAAAGGGGTGAGGATGGGTAGGGACAAAACCATAAAGTTGTACAATTTGGTGGGTTAAAGAAGGTGGGGGTGAAGAAATGGGAAGTATCCAGGTAAAAAGACGGTAATTATGGGCAAGGTCCAAAGGTGATTAATTTTATAAAACATAATGCATGAGAACGATTGTATGAAACACAACATGAAGGAAAAACAGGGTGAAACACAATGTACATGAACTTTGTAAGAAAACTAACATAAAATAGTAAAACAATGTTTCATAAGTATTAATATATAATTAGCAATTGTGAAAGATTATGGTCATGGGGGAAAAATAGCCTATGTGAATGAATTATGATTATATTCAATCAGATTTCTTGTTTCACATTGAAACAAAATTACATTTTATAAAAATATTCCAACTATATATAACATCTGTTTTCCCAGCTGCTAAATTAATAAAAACATAAGATATACAAAATTTTTTTTATAGGAAAGACTTTGTTACGTATACAGTAAGCTTTCCATAAAAGGTTAAGCATTTATGTATACTCATAGTGTATGATTAACACAAATTATGTATGTACAGTTTTGCTAAATAGTTAAAATATTTTCCTACAAGTAATTTTAAACTATTAATCAGCTTTAAAAATAAAAATTAAGATCTATTAACCATTTCTATATTTTAAAATTCTATTGTACATAGGGTTTTCAAAGAATCATCAACAACCTGCGTTATGAGAATGACACAACCCTGCTTACTGAAACTGAGGAGGACCTGAAGCACTTGCTGCAGACGGTCAGGGACTGCAGCCTTCAGTATGGATTGAGGCTCAACATCAAGAAAACAAAAGATTCTCACCATTGGGCCAATTGGCAGCACCAGTATGGATGGTGAAGAGATTGAAACAGTTAACAATTTTGGTTTACTTGGTTCCACGGTCAACACTCTTGGGAACAGCAGCCATGAAATCAAGAGATGAATTGCTTTGGGAAAGTCAGCTGTGAGGGACCTCTCAAGAGTACTGAAGAGCAACGATGTCAGGCTGGAGACTAAGGTATGCCTGATCCAGACTATAGTCTTTGCAATTACATACTATGCATCAGAGAGTTGGACAGTGAATAGGGATGACAGAAAGAGAATTGATGCCTTTGAGCTGTGGTGCTGAAGAAGAGTGTTGAATATACCAAGGACTGCTAGGTGAACAAACAGGTTTGTCCCGGAGAGGGTGAAGCCAGAATGCTCCTTGGAGTCAAGGATTCTGAGACTTCGTCTGACATACTTTGGGCATGTTGCAAGGAGGGACTGGTGCTTGGAGAGGGACATCATGCTTGGGAGAGTGGAAGGACAGTAGTGCAGGAGAGGAAGACCCTTGATGAGATGGATCGATTCTGTGAGTGGAGTGGTGGGAATGAATGTGTTTGAGACGGTGAGGTTGGCACGGGATAGAACGGTGGTTAGGGCTCTTGTACATAGGGTTGCTATGAGTCACAAGTGACTCAATGGCACATAACAACAACAACGTATTTTAAAAAGCCTCCAAATCCATTCTTAGCACATCAGTTCTGACTCATAGCAAACCTAAAAGAGGACACCTGCCCCATAGGATTCCCAAGGTGGTGCGGCCTGATGCTGAGAGCTTGGAAGTGGTACCTCCCTGGTGGTTTGACACTACCAGCAGCTCTGGGAGAGAAAAATGGGCAACCTCTCCCTGCAGCCTCAGAAATTTGATGGAGGGTTGTTGTAAGTATGAGCTGACTCAATGGCAGTGAATGTGAGTGACTTTTTACAGATGCAGACAATCATGAAGTGGCTGGTGGGGTACCAGCTGAACACTTAAATGCTGTGCCATTAGGCATCTTAAGTTACACATTAACTCAATATTCAAACCCAATCTCTCGGAGTAAATTCTGACTCATGGTTCCCAGGGCTATAAATCCTCGTGGAAGGAGACTATCTTTCTTTCTCCTACAGTTGATGGATTTGAACTGTCAATATTTCGTTAGCAGCACAACACATAAACCACACCACCAAGGCTCCTTAATTCTATATTCTTTCAAATCTCACTACCAACGAATTGGAAGTGACTCATAGTTGAACCTCCAGCAGGTTTTCGATACTATAAAGCATATGTGAAGAGATGGTCCCATATTTCTCCCGTGGAGCAGCTAGTGATTTCCAACTACCAGGGAGGTATATGTAGCCTTCCAGGTAGCAGGGCAGCTCTCTATGGATTATGCCACAAGAGCTCCCTAATATTACATATGTAAACCTTTTTGTCTCCCAAACATGAAGCTAAGCTTTGTTGCCCTGTCTCTCCTACAGTTTGGTAGACGCATGAATCCAGTTTCTCACATAAATGTGGGCAGAAGTGATAAATGGCACATTTAGGGTGATTCTGCTACACTTTCTCACATGCTTTCTGCTCCCTAGTTGTCAACTAGAATGACCTCAGATATGTGAGATATGTGACTGCCAAATTAATATTGACCACTGAGTATCATAAATACTGACAGATACAAATCAAACCCAAGAAAGCTTTTTTATCCCTTTGTGGTTTGTTTTGTTTAAAACAAGAAAAAAAGGAAATGTAAAAATAGCCCCAATTAGTTCTATTAAATAGTATCAACTGCTACATAACATGTTGTAATGAGATAAATTATCCATGTCAAAAGGATTAAATTCAATCCTTGTATTTATGCAAAGAGAAATGTTAAAAACATTCTAAAGTACTTTAAGTACTGCTGAAACAAAAGGTTTTTTTAGGACTTCCCTATCTTCCTAAGGAAAAACAAAAACAACCAGAAGAAAGGTGGTTCTTTTTGTATGAGAAGACAGAATGGGACAAACAGAAAAACATTCTTATTACCTTAACTCTAGCAAACAAGAAGCCTAGGGGGAACAAGCTTTTAACCTTTCTATATAGGATTTCCCTATACAAATATCAGTGTCAATTAACTGTTAGTTCTAATATTCTCCATTCTTTAAGTAGTATTAAGAAAATGAAAAAATAGTTTAAGAAGCTGATGAACACACAACACAGTAAAATGATTATTTACCAGTGATAATTCATATTCACTTATTTTGAGTGCAGAATTTTGTTGCTTTTCCAACCAGACGTTAAGGCAATGATATGTTCAATCTAGTCTGTTGACATACATTTTCTAGTTCTTCCAACGTCTACTGGGTTTATATTACTTCAATGCTTTGTTAGATTGTGTTTCATGTCTTTGGGTCCCTAAAAATCTGGTATGTGTCAAACTCAAACTCAAACTCACTGCCACTGAATCAATTCCAACTGAAAGATACTCTCCATCCAGTTTCTAAGGCTGTAAATGATTATGGGATGAGACTGCCGATCTCTCTCCTAAGGAATGGCTGATGATCTTGAACCAGATGAGATGAGGAGCATTTTGGTTAGTTGCACAACATTGACTATGGTACCAGGACTCCTTATTCAATACTATTTCCCAAGGAATTTATCAGTTCAATGTTACCCATCTGGCCCTTAGACGAAGTCCACTGCCGGGTAATGTGGCTGTTACTGTCAGATAAATGGTCATCTGTATTTTCTGAATTGGTCTTCCAGTTTCACTTTCTGTAAATTCATCTTCTACACTGCATCTAGAGTGCACCTCAAGTGCATCAATACTACACCTGGAATTCAATGAAGGTGCATAAAAGATGACAGACTGGGCAGCTGGTCCACCAAGACCTGTGGCCCTGCTCCTACTTTCATCAGAGTAATTCTATCCTGTCAGTCAATTTTACATAACATAAATTCATGTAAGATTGTGAATAATTTGTTATGTTGTTGTTGTTTACTAAGAGGTAGAATCACTAGTTTTTAGAATACTCTGTAGTCATCTCAACCTACAAAGCCCTTCATGGCACCATAGACACCAAGAGAACAACTAATGTGATCACATGATGACATTATCACTTATTGTTAGGGGCCGTTGAGTCGAGGATGACTCATAGTGACCCCATGAAAAACATATCTGAACCTTGTCCCTCCTGTGCCATCCTCACATCTCTGACACGCTCAAGACCTCTGCTGCAGTCACTGTACAAATCCATCTGACTAAGGTTCTTCCTCTCCTTCATCATCCTCCTACCTTCCCAAGCATGATGCGTCCTTCTTGAAGGTATACCTCTTCAGCAACATGTCCAGAGTATGTGAGATGAAGTTTCATCATGTTTGCCTCCGAAGAACATTCTGGCTGCACCTTTTCCAAGGTATATTTGTTTGTTCTTTTGGAAGTCCATGGGATATTCAGCACTCTTCTGCAAGAGCACAGTTCAAAAAATGTCAATTCTTCTGCCATCCTTATTCACTGTTCAGTTCTCAGATGGCATGGCAAATGACTGAAAAGACCATGGCCTGAATCAGGCACATCTCAGTCCTCAAAGTCAACATCACTGCTCCTCAGTAATTTGGAGAGGTCCTTGACTACAGGTGTTCCCAGTTGCTGGTCTCCTGATCTCCTGATTGCTGGTACAAACAGAATTGATTGTGGTTTCAATAAGATGAAGTTGTTCATAGTTTTCTCTACATTTCACACAAATTGAAATTTTCACTGCTATTAAAGCACTTCCAATTTTATACTATTCAAGTTTTGTGCAGAAAGTACACTTATGCATCTAGAATGCTTATCTTCTCACTCTATTTGATTAGCAAGCTGCCATCCACATCAAGTCGTAGTTTAATTAAAGTGGCTAAGAAACTTTCCCTGACTCCTAAATGTACATCCTTATAACTGAGTTTATTGCATATAATGGCATAATTATAATGGTCAGCATATTTGTGTTATCATTAGATCTGCCAAGTCTGAATGATTAGAACAGTTTGAGAAGTTTCTGATATAAAGT